TAATAATGCAGGTTTTTCACATTATTATAATATACGTATTGACTTGTAAACGTGAAGCCTCGTCCCTAATTTTCTCTTTTCTCATCTGTATCGTTAAATACATATTTTCCTGTTTCAGTGCATACAAAGGAAAATGAATGAACCGACAATCTTGAAGTAAACTGGAAGTCGCCATTCGATCCAACGACAATGCGTCAAAATCCGAGATACTAATCGGATGCACAAGCACACAACAAGGAGAGAAATCGAGCGCAAACCAACAAGAATCAGAAGCTACATTCTTGGTGCACCATTTGTCTTCTTTTTTGGTGGGGTGTTTTAGAAGCCCCAAATCTGGCTACCGTGGAGGGATTAAGGGCACGCTCATCGTTGAAGCAATCAATCTCCGATATCAACGACGACGACGAGGAGTGCAGGCCTTGGCGTCGTAGATTGTCCATGGCTTTCACCTGGGGCTCCGCTCTCAGGATCACCCTCCTCGTCCTCCTCCTCGCCGCGGTTATATTCGCCTGTTTCACTCTCCCTGTCGAGAAGGTGTGGTTTTCTCATCTGGGTGTATCTTGTTTTCACCTCTTGATCCATTTATTTTGCCTTTCTTGGTAAATTTCGTGTAATTTTTCATCTGGGTATCACTTATTTTACCTGCCATCTAGATTTTCGATATTAGGTTTCTCGTGTTTTCCCTTTTCGAGCAATGATTTTGTTTGTTTCCATGAATTTATGTATGTTGCATCACGAGTGCTGGTCGTGTTTGGGTTTTTCCATCGCATAAATGTGTCCCATTTTAGGGGTAGGATATCACTGTATGCAAAATTAATGGCTTTTGCTGATGATTCTCTGCAAATGCTTTGATTGCAGAAATGTGTTCATTTTTGGGTGTAGGAAATTCATAATCATCCATTTCTATCCAACCTGCATACTAAACTTAATCATAATAAGTTAAACTAAAAGTTAAACTAAAGAGCCCTTTTTTATTGTTTAACTTCAATTAGCTATTCCGAGCTTTCTTTAATTTTCTTAAATTTCTTTACCCTCATCTTCAAGATATTCACACCTAGTGCTTACATTAAGCCATGCAATTTTTTGTCTGTCTTGGTACCTGAGAAACTGGAAGTGGGTATAAGTGTTATGAAGTGTATTCTCCATTCAGTTCTATAAATGTCATTGAATTATACTTTCTCCTAGTTGCATTAGTTCTAGTAGTTGTCATGCCACGATGTATTGAAATTCTTTTGTGTCTCATGCTTGAAATGTAAGGTTTAAATGAAATCAATAACCTCTTAATGAAAGATTCGAGGAAGAGTATAATTCTTGTCATTTGTATCCACGGGTCAATTGTAGTGGTTCTGAAGCCTATTTGTGAATCATGTTATATTCTATGCATTGATGAGATGAACTTCCTTGCAGATTTTGAAGGATTTTTTGTTATGGGTTGAGAAGGATCTTGGACCTTGGGGTCCATTGGTGTTGTAAGTAATCTATAACTTGCTAGTATCCAATGATTTAATGTTTATCTGGTATTTGGTATTTTTTCCTTGATTCATGTTACCCTTCTTGTTTGGTTTGTGTTGAAGTGGGCATTTGCTAATGTTGTTCGTAAGAAGGTTTCTTTTTCTTTTCTTCTTCAGTACAAGGGTATAGTATAGGAGATACATCATACATTTAACTGAAACCTGATTTTGGTAGCTCAAGATTTCAATCTCTGTTGGCATCAATCTATTAAAAATAGAGTATTTCATCATATTCAAAGCTTTTGAAAAAGAATCTAAATTGTATCTAACCCATTTCATTGACCCTAGGGCTTTGAGTTAACCCAAACTACTTGACCTGTGCTCATAATTTGTCCTCTGACTTGCCTGATTCTGTTTGTGATGAAGTAAAGAATGCAAATTAAAAGCCTGACCTTTACCTTGTGTTTTGTTTAGTTGTAAGGCCAAATCTATATCATATTACAAGTGAATGTGTACGATATTTACTTTGTTGTGATAGCATACGTGGAAATAGTTTGACCATGCCTTGTTGATATCAGTCTGTGGCTCATCTTATATGTATGAAAATAATTTGGGTGGTGTAATTATTTCCACAGATCTTTCTTTTTGGAAGAATATCTAAGTTCATGTTTTTTGTGTGTTTAATCTTGTTACTTAGGTTGTGAAATGGTTGACTAAAAACAATATAAAACTGAAATATTAAACTATTCTGGCCTTCAAATTATGTTTCTTTGGTTGGGCATGCAGGGCTGTTGCTTATATTCCATTAACAATCTTGGCGGTTCCAGCTTCAGTTCTTACTGTAAGTATATGATCCCATTTACATGCTTTATTTTAGCCACTTTGCTACCTTCTGTAATTGTACTTCGAGTATCTTGTTTTAAACAGAAATTTGTCTTTCTCATTCTACCTTGCTATATCAGATTATTGTCCTGGTTCTTTTGTTCTATTTATGAATAATTACGGCTATCATCTTTTCAGAGTGTTGGTTGTGTGCTTATTCATATTGTCTGTTGAAACAAACTTGCTTACATTGGATTCATGAACTGATTTTCCATTTGATGCTCTACATGGATGATTTTTCACACCTCTCTTAAACATATTTTAGGCATAATCCTACATGCTATTGCCTTATGTGTAATTAGCACACAAAGGCATTTACAACAACAATACAGTCTTTTGTTTGACCATATAATGTAAATTTTTGTTTGACCAGCTATTATTTTCCTTAAAATGTACATATTTGGTTTCTCATTCTCATTCATTGAAGGGTAGGGTTTTTAACAATTTATTTTCATTATTAGGAAGTTAATGTTGACATCTGCCAATATGTTCTAAGTTGTTGTTTTTGCTGGTTCATTGTCTTGCATTTTTGGTAGTGAATTTCCTTTTTCTTACTGAATTTACATTCCATGTATGATACAAGAGTGACTGAGTGAAACCCTTCTTTCCTTCTATGTTAAATGATAAAAATCACTATTGCGACCTTTTTTCAAACTCATCTTCATCTTCCAGCTTGGTGGTGGTTATCTCTTTGGGTTGCCTGTGGGTTTTGTTGCTGATTCTATTGGTGCTACCATCGGTGCAGGAGCTGCATTCCTTCTTGGCAGAACAGTAAGTTGCTAAGCTCCTATTATGATGTATTTACAGTTTTCACACCTTTCCTGTTTCTGGATCCCATGGGCTACTGTATTTTCATTTTTCATGTGGAGCTTGTACTAATAATTTATGTTAATAATTGACTAATTTATATAATGCTTATTTCTTTTCACTAAGGTTCCTCTGATTGCTTTGTCTTTAATTGTACTTGTTTTCTTATACAGATTGGTAGATCATTTGTTGTTTCCAAGTTGAAGGATTATCCTCAGTTCCGGTCAGTTGCAATTGCTATTCAGAAATCTGGTTTCAAGGTTTGTCTCCGTTATTTAAAAAACATAACGTATATGACGAGCCTAGAGGGGCAGAAGTAGTGGGCATCAATATCATTTATTTATAAAATAAATGCAGTTTGTTCTTATGAGGATAATCTTGATTACAAACTATGCAGATTAAATGTTTAGGTTTGATTGATGAAATGGAGCTGAAATTAGTAGTAAGTTTGTAAATATCTGGAATTTTACGCATTTAGTTTGATTGAAGTGCTGTGCACCCTAAGTTAGGTTGTCCTACAGGTTGTTCAGTGAACCTTTTTATTTTTCATGGAAGAGCATGTACTATGAAAGATGATCTTGAATGCATAAAATGTTCCTAGAGGAAAAGGAATTTATTTTGTCCAGCACCTCTAGCAATGTTTACTTTAGAAGTAACATTCACATTTTTGTTTTGAATGGCTTCAAATTCTGGAGGATATGTATTGAAATTTTCGCTAATATCCCTCCAAAAAGAAAGAACCAAGGTACAAACTATCTGGTGACGTTGTATTGGCTAAAGGTCTGCGAATTGTGAGACATTCAGCTTTATGGCTGATAAATTAAAATTTTGCTGGCTTTTTTCTCCTTATTCTAACCTGCAGACTGTTTATTTTGTTTTTTTATTCAAATTCCTTCTGTATATGCTTTTTTGGCCTTTTTTTAAATGTAAAATTCAAGAACACTCTTTTGTTTCACAGATTGTTTTGCTGCTTCGGCTTGTACCCTTACTCCCATTCAACATGTTGAATTACCTCCTTTCGGTGACCCCAGTTCCAATAGGAGAATACATGCTGGCATCCTGGCTAGGAATGATGGTATTTACTTCTCTGTTAATTATGTTATTTCCATTTATGAATGTATAAATATTATACATGCCAGTTTATGATAATATATCCTAATGTTGAATCTGGTTTTTGTTGCAGCCAATTACCCTTGCTTTAGTATATGTTGGAACAACTCTTAAGGATCTTTCTGATGTGACACATGGGTGGAGTGAAGTTTCAAAGATGCGTTGGGTAAGTCATGTTATTCTTGTATTTACTTTATCTTCTTCATTTTTCTTTTACACTTTATAAAACTTGTATCAACACACTTAAGTTAAAAACAATGGTCCGTGAGTTACAAATACAGAATAGTTTGTTTCAAGTTGCTTTTCAATAGTTCTATTTTTCGGAAGCAGGCATTATATTGCACTCGAAGATGCAAATTGTTTATGTAGTTGTCAATTAAACTAGGATTTTCATGCACTTGCCCTTTGTTGTGGATGCAGGCGTTTCTCATATTGGGTCTTGCAGTATCTGGTAAGTTGTAGTGATTTGTGAACATATTTCCCCTGAAGGCAGGCAATTGACCTTTTAAAAATCTTTTCCTAAATTAAAACAAACAAAAAGAAAACGTAGAGTGACACATTGATCAAAAGCTAGGGTGGGAATTTAGATATATCATTAATCACTTTTATTCTTTGAAAGAGTGAGAAAGAATACACATTGCATTTTTTCGTTTCCTTTTTTTTTTTCTTTCTTTCTTTTTGGGAAAAATTTTGAGGTTGTTGGTTAAATAAATATTTTATTTTCAGACAGCATATGTAGAGAAACACAGGATTTGAATCTGGATACAGCCATCGAAAACCTATGTTAATGATTTGTAATACGACTTGAACTCAGCCCTTGATTTTATAGATTTCATTGTGTCTGTTTTGCAGTGGTTTTAATGGTTTGTGTTACAAAAGTTGCAAAAGCTGCTCTTGACAAAGCTTTGGCTGAAAATGAGGATGCAGATTGCATCTTGGGCTCACCACAGTTGCCCATTGTGGGTGAGCCAGGTTTGGACCTGTGCCAGCCTCTTGTAATCAAGATAGAATCCCCTGAAGACACTCATGAAAAATGAATCTTAACATTATTTGTAAATTCTTCCACTGCATTCTTCATAACCCCCCCAGTGCATCTCATTGCATTGCCAAGGGTGCTCGTCTTATGGAACTGTATAGTTTCCTGATTCACAAATGTAGTTGTGGACAGCAGCATTAGTTGATAGCAGAAATGCTTTAATTTTTCTTTGGATACCTTATATTAATTTACTTTTGAACTCGGCTTTCCTTCGGTTTTACTTTTTTTTCCCCTTTTGTTTTTGCTTTTATTTTTTTAATACTGAAAAGATGGGAGTGGATATTTCTGCTGAAATTTTGGTTCGGTATCGATTGGGAAAATCGGAGGAAAGAAAATCGGTTAGTTAAATGTCTTTTGGAATATCCTCGAAACTGAGATTTGTTCACCTCCAAAAATGTCATAATGGCTACAAGAAGGAAGTTGATAAAATAATTGATATTTATTATTTAATAAATAACAATTTTATAATAAATAAATAAAAAATAATTTACAAATATATATTTTCAGATATCATAGTTTATTGTTTATGTGTATGTGCTCTCTTCACCTATAATCCTCTTGGTGTCATCTGCCGTGGCCTCTGCAACCATCGACACTCCAAAAGGTCCTCTCCTTGACAATCCAGCCCGGTACAACTTCTTTTCTCCTTTCCAATGAGTTGAAATTTTGTTTTTAGGTTTGCCCTTGTCATTCAAAACATATTCATAATCCTGCCCCAAATATCATAAGAGTTTTAATTTCTTTTCTGAAACCATAAGAGAGTTTTTAGGGTTTAAATTCCACACAAAGTTGATGCTTAGGTTTTATATTGAAAACAGAAACCATAATTATCAACGTCTTGAAGAAAATCTTTCTTAGACAATGTTATTAAAAAAATCATTATTTTATGGTCTAAAATTAAAAATAGATAATTCTAAAAATGTAGTCATTCATCTAACATACAAAAACTAACTAAATCAGTTGTTTTATATTATATTTTAATGATTAAACTAGGCAAATATTGAAAACTGTTTTAGAGTGAAGGGTGTATTAATCATTTTTCTCCACAGATATTATACTCTAACACCTATTTTTTCTCTTCAATATAAAATTTTATTTACATCTCTCAACTCCACTTATATGTGAACTTTATACTCCAATAATACCTAGATACCAAAGCAATCCATCGTTTTTTGAGTATGTCACTGTCTGAGGCTTCCATTTGTGAGAGAAACTTGTATGCTGAATGCGCTGAGTATCTGACCTTTTTGTGATGTACCCAGGTCCAAAACTTCCGTTGCCTCTTCAGTTTTTTCCTCCTCCCACTCACGTAGAGGTCTTCCCCATCTAAAATTCCAGCTCAACATGTTCCTGTTCCAGTATAATTAAAATATTATGTGATATTGTAAGTTTATAATTATAATTTTTAAATATACAATAACATACATCATTATAGTTATATCATTGCTATTGAAAAAATTTCATCTTAAAATTTGATACAAAAAATCATTACTCTTCCAACTTAAAAATGAGTAAAAAAATCATTAATTAAAAGATCTTCTAATTTAAAAAAGGAAAATGATGTGTGCACACCCGGATTCAACACCCGGGTGTGCACACCCCCCATAAAAAAAAAAAATTGATTCGGGTGCATATCATTTTTTTTTTATGTGGGGGGTGCACACCCAGGTGTTGGATCCAGGTATGCACCAATCATGATCCTTTAAAAAATGATAATACCTTTTGTCCACTTTTAGTTGTTACACTTACAAGATGTCTCAATTTAATTATCAAACTTTCTAATTTTGCAACTATTTTAAATGTTTCGTTTTAATTTCAACGAATTTTTTATTAAAAAATGTTAAAAATGAAATTTAAATGTCTAATTATTGTGTTTTTCAAGTATTTGTTAAATACTTAAATTTCTTTTTTGATGCGCAACACAGAAATGTGACAACTGAAGTGGATGAAGGTAGTACACCATTTAGATACCTCATTGAATGTATTTAACTTGCCCAAAGCACGTATATTAGAAATTCACTTAATAATACTTTTCATTGACAGGTGCAAGTTTCGAATTGGGTACCA